GCATGTGTGTGTTTGCATTTTTGTAGTGGACAGTTCAGTTGTAGAATACATTAGTCTTATTTTTGGATATGGTTTCAAATTCATTTATCTATTTTATTTAACTCTCTCACTCTGTTTTGCCTCATAGGTTTATTCTTTAGTTTCACTTTCCTTTTGCTTTCATAATTTACTTTTAGTATTATTGTTTTGTCGATACTTATTCTATTTTAATTAATCTGCGAATCTGTTTACTAATTTTAAGATGCTTGTTACCTATTTTTAGTTATTACTATTTTTTTTATTTGAGTTTGCTTACTTTTTTTTACAATTTTTGCTTATAATTCTTTTTAATGTATTTACATATTCCATGATTTCATTATTTCACAAAAATATTTATTTAGCTTGATTTTTTTCACGTAAAAAGAATATTAGTTTTACTGTTAAAAATAGTTTTCACTTTTTTTTTTAGAAGTTTTATTTTGTTTTTTCTTAAGGTATGCATCGGAATATTTTGGCGTCCTTGTCTTTTTTTTAGTTTTAACATTTTCTTCGTGTTATAGTCAGTGCTGTGCTGAGCATTATTATTGACGCCGACTTCAGTCATTTGCTACCCATCTTCAACACATTCATCACGAATCCTTTATAAACTGTTCCATGACCCAGAATTCATCCTCTTCGTCGCTGCAGAATATGCGGTCTTGGACTCGAATGTTTGAAGAAGCCAAGAACCCTACGCAATCGTCTTCGGGGCGTTCTTCCTTAAAACATCCCTTCCAAACTGCTAAGGAGTCCCAGTTCCCTTCGGAACCATCAAAGCCTCATTTCTTTGATCGTTTAGAGCAGCTCCACGGCAGCACTCAAGGGCAGGCTGTTTTATCCTTACGGGCCTCAGCTGAGATGTCTTCTAAATTCAAAAACGAAGAGAAGGAGGTTGACGAGAGCGATCGACAACAAAGAGAGTGGTGTCATTCACGGCCAGTCTCATTGTTGACACGCATGAGATCTTTTCTGTTCTCCATGTCTCAAAGACTTCAGAAAAATGACGATGAAGTATCTCATGGTATCGAGCAAAATCCCAAATTATCTCCGAGTGGACAACATCTGTGTTATAGGGATCGAGGTCCAAGGTTATCAAAGCGTCAGAGGCGCACACCAATTGGGAATCTTCCTGAAAGTAAATGTTTGAGTTGTACTGACAATACAAAGATTTATCCTGAAGTTTTAGAAAGTAATGGCTATCATGAGGATAGCATAGGAAAAATAGACAAGTACAACAGTCATTCAGTCTCAGCTCAAACAGCGTCAAGTATGAACACTCATTCCTTTCCTTCTTCCTCTGAGGCGGTTCCAATAATTACAACAAAGGGAAACCCACCTAATTATGAGCCCCCGCTTCGACGGGGACGACGGTATGCCTTGGCGTCTGCGGGCGCTGCGCTTATAAGTACTAGTACCAGTCCCAGTCAAATGAGACAATCATGGTCGTGGGTGACATCTACGGACAGCGGAGTGAAGCCTAGTGAGGATTGTACAGTTATGGGCTCATCCGTAGACGCAAAGGTGGATTTACTCAAGGAGGTGGAGACGCCGTCTTTCTTGGGCAATTCAGTGGCTTCTGGTGACCAGAATCTCAAAGTGACTAGTATATTTAAAATGGATCAAGATAACCCTCGCCAACATGCGGATCCCAATATTGTTTCTCACGAAAATGAAGAGCGTAGCTTAGCACATACAGGGAAGCTTACAGATGTCGCGGTAATGCGCATGGCAGTGCACGATAGGGGTAACATCCCCGAACTATCTCAGGAAAGCGTTCATACGGCCGTTTCAGTAAAAAATCAGCACTTCGGGCGAGGAAATAAGGTTATGGGAAAACGTAAGCAAGTTAACCGTAATCTTCCTAATGATGATGATCTTCAGAAGAAGGTGAGATGTAGTAGCAACGAACTTATTGATACGCATACGCGTTATATTGTGTTTGACACATCTTCTCTACTTGCGTCGGACCCCGGTGTGCTTAATTTGCTTGTCGAGCAGTGTGTGATATGTATTCCTTTCACTGTAATAGATGAGCTCGATAAACTCAATAAGGGGGTCAGTAAAACGATGCCATCAGCGGAAACAGAACCTAAACGCGAATGGGTTAGACATCGATCTCGTGAAATCAGAAATTTTATTTCGGCACAACAGAAGTCCGAACGACAGGGTGCGGCAGGAGTTGGTTTCGTAAGAATCCAACGTCGTACGGAAGTAATACCAGAATACCATGAACAAGCAAAAAATAATGATGACTATATTTTAGAATTTGCAGTTTATTTGAAGGAACGAGAGAAACTGCATCTAATCACATTTGTAAGTGAAGATAAATTTCTTTGCATCAAAGCGAAAACTGAACTTGGTAATAGTTGCTCGTATGCGGATTTGAAGCGCTCTTTGGGTTTGCGTTCTTAATAAATAGGCATTAATACAGAATGGAAGATATATTTTTTGTCTTCTAATATTCTCTATTTTTGATCGATTGCAGCTGATTAGTAAGGACACTGACTCAAATGCAGATTTATTTTACCATATGTACTTCAACGTGCTTTGTGCAAATAAACCTGTAATTGTGCACCAATCTTCTTTATTTGTGTTGTGATTTGGTTTATCATTGTATGGATCCTTCAAAGAGAGGGAGGTGGGTTGTAAATTTTCTAATCCAAGTACATTGGCACGAAGCTTTGAGTGAAAAGCTTTTGCGGTTACTTCGCTTTCCAGGATTGTGGTGGCTATGTGACATTTATACATCAAGCCATCTTTAACTGAAGGAAAACTGATAAGCAATCTTCCTTAATATATGTATTTAAACCATTTTCACGATGGTTCGATTTCCAATGAAGACATATGGAACGAAAACGCAGCACGCAAGCAGTTTGAAAATTTTCCATAATGTACTTTATTCCATGTTGTGTGTATTGCGAGTCGATTACCTATATATATAATTCGTTAAAGAAATATTTCTGCTAGGCTGGCCCAGCTACTAGATTTGAAAAGATTACTGAAAGACACATGGTACGGGGAAGTAGTTCTAGTTGCACCCGTATTGGTGCAATTTGGAACAATGGGGTTTTGTATGGGAAAATTAGACTATTTCACTTATAGTAAATAACAAGAGTCTAATTTCTATTCTATTTAAATTACTTTGTTTCCGTCTTGGAGCACTAGAAACGGCTTCAAACTCCTGACAGGAGTACAGCTGATGTTTTCTCGACTTCATCTCTTGAAGTAGGCGGTTACTCTGAGTTGCTCTTCAGTGCCACCTTGCATATGGAAAGAAACAATTGTGGTTGTCTTATACCCTATTCGGTAGTCGTCATCTATGAATGGACTTTTTTTTGTTAGAGGGATAAAAGGTAACTGGTTACATATTTTTCCAACTGTGTATTGTATGACAGAATAAATCATCGAGCTCGTCGTGCTTTTCAAGACGGCTTCTGTAGTATAATTGTAAAATCACCTTAAACCGTAGTTCTACATTCTTTCAGGGTTTGGATCTCCACCAAAGGTTCAATTTTCTCGAGCACTGAAGCTTAAGGTGTTACGGTAAATGATACAATCGCTTCATCCTTGTTTTTACATTAATCCTGTGGAGCGATCACTAGCGGTTCACGTTGGGCTCGTGCAATTGTTCCTTAGTGATTACAAAAAAATGGCCTATAGTCAACGGAATAGTTTCCATTGAGATAAAGTATCAGACTAAATATTGCGTTAACTCCAAGGTCTTGAGGTAATAATATTTTTTATTGGCCTCGAGTAATTTTCACATAGTAACTCGATCTGCCAAACTTAGAGCATAGTCTTATTTATCAGACCTCACCTAATGAGTCTTATTGAAGAATCAAGCACACAAAGCTTTAAGAGCTAGAATGTTGATATCAGGACCAAAACATCAAAAGGCGAGATGATATTGTTTGACACGAATCTGGTTTGGAAGTAAACTTGTATATGAAAATGGTATTGTGCGTGTGCCAGGACATATTAATTAAATTTAACCTACCAATGCCACTTAACATAAAATCTTACTCTGAAAATTTTTTATCATATACGTTCTAAAGTTTACTCGTTTGCCAAATAGTGAGATGATCTCCTTTAGCATCTTTTCATAAATTAATTATGTTAAAGAGGAAAAGAAAGATATGCGCATATTTTTCTTTTCCATAGATCGGGAATACGAGTACAATACTTTTATTTCTTTCTCTGACTAATCATATCAGACTGATTTATGTAACAAAATTATATCTTTACTTTTTTTTTGACCCAACACCAAGTTATTATTGGTTTTACTGATTCTTTTCACGTAGTCTAAGTTGTTCCCACCTGTTCCATTCATCAGGATGTCTGCTAATTTAAATACTACTAATAGCGAATTGATGGAGGTCGAGGAGATAGAGGTCTCTGACGGAGGAGCCGCTCGTTTTGCCGCGATTGAAGTTAAGAGTGATGCAGACAGGTTCAACGTTAAATGGGAGGCCCCAGCCAAACTACTGCGCTTCGATGAAGGTGAGAATCAGTGGAAGGAGCGCGGTGAGGGTAAGGCACGCATTTTACAATGTAAAGATGACTCCGATAAATACATGTTTGTGTTTCGTCGTGAAGCAGTAGGGAAGTTAGCGGCCCACCATTATCTTCAGAAAGGCATGAATGTAAAAGTGCATCCGAAGAACGAAAAAGCATTGTTGTGGTCTGCCTTTAAGGATTACACAGACGATGATGAAGGATTCCCAGAAAGTTTTGTGATGCGGTTCTCAACAAAAGAGACTACTCAAGATGCACTCAAGCAGATGGAGGAATGCATTACAACTTCTAATGTGTAAGAAATTTTACTTGAGAAGGAAATTCATGGAAGGGTGTATTGTAAAAGCAACAATAATACGTAAAGACTTATCCTATGTGTACGTATTTACTTTAAAAAAAAGAGGGAAGTAAAATATGCTATCCCAATAAGACTATGATACCATTACGGTAGTTTAGTATGAAATTTCTTTAATATTCATTAAATATATTTTTTAAAATAGAACCAATGCACCCTTTCTGGTAAATATATATGGAGGTCCACTTTTTTTCTTCAGATTTTTCCATTTTATAAAATTGCTAGTTTGTATATATTTATCGATAAATGTGACTCTGATACAAACACCGACATACCACATTCGTATATAGACAATAATTTACACTATATTATACAAATCCCTTGAAATTTGAACCAGACTGGTATAAAAGATCTCCATACTTTTCGTTTGAAGTGGGAAAGTAGGCGCACTGAAAAGTTGTTGCGTCATTTTGCCTCTTGAAGGTTTTAAAAACATACACCCTTTTCCTGTATATACCTAACTAAAGAAGCTGAGAAGACTATGGACCGACACAGTTTGCAGTATGTTCTTATGATTAGCGGGCAGCAAAATCAACTTCACAATCCAAATGCTATAGTAAATTTTTCCGAACAAATGCAAGCAGTCATTATGCGTGGCTCCACTCCTCGGAAAAACTTTCTCATCGACACCACCACTCCACGTGGAGATGTGGTTATTACTGAAGACTCTGCAATGAAATCTGTAAACAGTTGGGTTACATTTAAGGTTACTGAAGGGATACAAAGGGGTTTGCATGAGTGGTCTGTGTACATTGAGAATCAGGGTGAGACTAGTGACGGCAGCGGCCTGATGTTAGGAATTATTCCTCAAAATTTTAACAAGTACGACTCCTTCATTTCACAGGGAGGTGGCTGGTGTTTGAGTCGGGCCGGAAAATTCTATGGAAACTGGCGACGCCAAGATTCTAATGTACCAACACTCACTTACGGTACCGGTGATCATGTCGTTTTCTTGCTTAATTATGACAACGCTACCATGATGGTTCGCGTAGGCAATACATATGTTATTGGCGAAATTCACAACTTGAGCACTGAAGTTTTCCCAGCCATTTCTCTACACTATCGCCAGCAAGTGGTACGCTTTGAATACCACTTGGTGTGTGAGAATTCTGTTACCAAGCAATCTGACTGGATGCAGCGTGGGGTGCTGACCTCTGCAGCTGCATTCATACCTATGACTTATGAGCACATCGAACGGATGCCTTTGGCGTCTTATCTATATAGTGAGGCTTTCAAGAATAGCCCCGTGGAGTGTATTTCTTCAGAGAGAAGAGGCGTTACTAATGAGAAGGATGCTAAGATTATGCCCTATGATTCTGTAGAAGCTTCCCGAGCCCGTTTACTGACCTTAGCCAATGCTTTTGCCGCAATCCGACGCTATACAATGCCATCAAGTAGGTGTCAATTTCTCTCTCCTCATATCAGTGCGGAACACTTACGCCTGCGTGCTTATGACTCCTTACGAAGGTCTCGTGGAGACGATGCACCCATACATGATGTTGGGCTGAATTTCTGGGCAACGATGGTTTTCAACCTCTTTTCATCCGTATTAAAGACATCTGATAGTAATCCAATGGCCTCCTCATTGATTCAAAGTCTCAAAGGCTTCTTGCTTTCAATGCCGCCCTTTTCCCTTGCCGAAGTGTCCTGTGGCCACGGCTCATCGTTGTTTCAAACGCACTCCTCCACAAGTATAGCTAACAGTGGATTGGGCGGTGATTTAGCATGCATCTTTCCTGGAATTCTTCAACTTGGTGTAAATGATATCTGTCGTTTGGTAGAAACACCGAAAGGGGAAAATAAAAAGGAGCTTAGCCCCACACAAGAAGCCTTGATGGAGATCATAGTACTGATTGCTTTGCAGAGGGGTCTGATACACGAGGTTCTACGAGTATGTCGTTATCTTCTGCGCTATCCACAGCAATCCGTATCACGTCCGCTTCTCGAGTGGCTTCAACACCATGATCAAGTGCTTCAGCCGAGTCTAGAACTTCCAGATTTCTGCAGGGCTTGGAATGCCTGCAAAAGTGCTGATGGATTAGTTCCAATCGGGTTATGTCCTCATCCTCCAATTCTTTCTGTTGCATTCGGCATTATGTGTCTTTTTGTGCACACAACTGATGGCATCAGTAAGTGGGTGTCGAACTCCCAGGGTGCTGAATCTCCATTTACTATGTCTGCCCATACAAAGGAGCCCAAACAATGTAATGCTGGTGTCTCACGCTCTAGTATGGCAACGGTCCGAGCCCATCTTCTTCTTCTTACAGATGTAATGCACAATACGGGTGTTGGGGTTGTGGTCTACACGATATCTTTGTCAGTGCACAGAATTTGCCGTTTAGATGACTTGGGAGACACCTGGCCGCGAGGACACGAAGCGTTTCCTCAGATTGTCTCTGCTGAAGGCGACACGTTTCTTTTGGTTTATCAAAAGCTTTGTGGGAAACTACCCACAGCGCCGATCAACGGCACCGCAGCGCTTTCCACAGATCTTTCTGTTCCTAGAAGCAGTACGTTTTCTCATCCCTGTGCGGGTGCAGCTGATCGTGCAGAGGTAAAGGTCTGTGGCTTTAGTTTTACATCCTTTCCGACACCTTTGTGGACTACAATACTCGAGGCGCCTCGGTTAAGTAATTTTTCACTTCGGACTTGTTTAGTACTCATGAAACGGAGCTACATTGACTTAGGACCACCTGATCTTGCTTTGCAGTCGAGCGGTGGATACATCACAGTGGAGTTGTGGATAACGTTTCTTGATAATGAGGGCACTTTCACTTTCTACCAACACGGTGACAAAAGCACCGGTGGCGAGGTTTTTCTGGAAACCGCGCAGCTGGATGGTGCTTTCAGCATCCGTGGTGGCTATCGTCATGACACGAGGGGTTCCTGTGTGGTATCCGCGCCGTTGCCACCCACAACCAATCAGCATTTTCTACATATTGCTTTAGTTTTTGATGGACAGTGGGGTCTATATTTTAATGGGGAGCAGGTTGCATGGAACCGCCAGGGACCACATGTGTTCCTTGTGTCACCCCGTCGCCGTTGGACGATAGGCAACGGTTGCATCTGTGAATTGGCTGGACTACGCGTGTGGCGTGTGAATCGCTCTGCGCGTGAGATTGCACGCGACTATAAACACTATCTAGCTGGGGATGAACCAGGGTTGCTAGTGCAGTTTTTATTCAATGAAACAAGCGGTAATATTGTTTTTAACTATGTCAAACGGGCGTGTGCGCGGCACGCTGTCTGTGTAGGGAATTTCTCACATATTGCGTGCGACTATCATCCTTTGCGCACCTGTGTAGGTTCTACGGGGATCCCCCACACTAGTAAACCCAATGGTGATGATGTTTATGGATATAATAGCCATGAGGAGACCGTCATTAAACCTTTTTGTAGTCCTATTCATGACTGGTGGGATCTAACACATGCAAGGTGTTCTGTGGTGCGCGGCTTGCTCGTGATTGCCACCCCAGTAGGGAGCGTTTCTGCCCCATATCTTGTTCAGAATGGCCACATCCTTACCTTTTTTGATCCTCACTCAGGGTTTATGTATTCTGAACAATTTTACATAAGTACTCAAGACCCTGCGAAATGTTTAATGGGTTGTGACCCTGATGGCCGAGTTTGGGAGTTATTCGAAATAGAAACTGATACAAAGCCATCTGTAGAAGAGGGGTTCGCTCATACGGTGCCGACAGAGAAGAAGAAGTACATTTTTGTGTCAATGTTACCATTTGAAAGAGAAGAAGATATTCTAACGGCATCTCCTGGCACACCAGCAGCACCCCAATTGTCGTATTTGTTCGCAGCATGTTCAGATACCACTGACTCAATAGTGAACACCAGCCATGAGGTGACTCATTCTCGGAGATTTCCTACTAGTTTAGTAGAGGGTAAGGGTGAGCAAAATGCGTTGCCATCCAGAAATGCCATATGCACTCATATTCAGGGAGGACCCTCAACTGTCAGCTTCCTGGGGAAGAGTAGCCACGATCGAGGAGAAGGAGTAAGCGGCAGACCCTCCCTGCCGTTTCGACCCCTTAACTACCTTGACTTATCGATAAAGTTGTTCGAGCTGCTAGGCAAACGTGCTCAGGTGGAGCCGATGAGTGAAGTTTTGCAGTTATTCTCACCACTTGCGGATGACGTCGGACGACCGTGTGTGCAAGAGATTACGAAAACCTTCCAGGAACACCTACGGTGGATCAAAGGACCCGGCGCGCCACGGGCTGTTGCACTTTCGTCTAGTTCCTCTTCGAAGATCCTTCATTGGGCATTGATTATCTTTTTGCGATTGATTCGTCGAGCGCGGGGTTACGGTCTCCATCCATTAGCCCTCGGCCTAAATGTCTGTGAGTGTGAAACGACTTCTGAGCTTTTTGCGACAGTCTTAAGTGGCACTCACGCCACGTTATCTTCGAGGAGTTTATCGTCAAGTACTCTGAATAATACAGGTGCCCGTACCGAGCCTGACAAACAAGACAGCCTTCTGTTGCCTTCTCCTGATGCAGCCTTACAGTCCATGAACGACGGCACGACGCTACTTGCTATTTTACACGACATCATATTCGAAATAGGAACTCAAACACATTTTCATTTGGGACAGTTGGCTCAACAAATCCTAATGGAAAGTATGTGTATCTTCATGCCGAATGCTCAGTATAGGGCTGGCATATTGCGAGATTCACTGGCAAGCATTTCCATGACTGGCGTAGACACATTAACGACCCACACTATTCCTTCAAAAGGATCACCGATGACAGGTTCAGAAGAGGCCTTCGCCTGGGTGCCAGTTTTGGATGGCATTGTGTGCAGCTTTTCTACTCTTTATTCCGTTGTTCCTCTGCTATATCCTGATTTAGCGAACGCTGATGTTTCAATACCACGAAGCCATGGGGAAGAGTCTCAGTTGGTATCCGGTGCAGCTCTAAAGGATATTATTGCTACTCAGCAGGCACTCATGAAGTTGTCTGTAACGCGGCAGAGGTCATTGCTTTCTAGCTGTTCAACTGAAAATATTCATGGTGACCCAGCCCATCAACGGAAAAAGCCACCATCCGGCTCTCCATTTTCTACATATTTTTCTACACAACTTCAAATGCTAGACAAGACAGGTCGATTTTTGGCACTTCAGGATGCCATTGGCTCCTTACAGCTTTTGCTTTTCAGCACACTTTGTGCAGATACTAGTGGGTTTGGCCTGTATCTTCATAAGGTATTGCCCCGACAAGGTAATAATGTTTTGACTTCATCCTTAAATGAGCTTCTGTCTAGATCTGATAAGAAGAACATTAGAAATGCATCAACTTTCAACCCAAAGCCTCTGCAACATGATAAAGCGGATGAAGGCGCTGCTGTAAAAAACTGGGTGCGGGACTACTATAGCGTTTTCTTTGAATTTGCCACAGAGTCTCTAAAGTTCACAAAAAAGTTCATGAGCGCGACTATACAATCAAAAAAAGCTCATGAAGTGGTCACAACGGGGACTAAAGCGGAAAGTATCCTGAAGTATGACAGCTTAGAAGGCGTTCTTTCAGAGTTAAAACTTTATGTGCCCGACTCTGTGTTGCATTTGGCTATTACCGCAATCCCTATTTTACTTCAACGTTCCGATGCTTCATGGTTTCTGGATCGCCTTCATAGTCTGATCCCACTGTGTAAAGACGTGCATAATGAAATTTGCAACTTTTCTGTAGAAAAAGTCACGGTCGAAACGCATCCAACGCATGACATTCGTGCCTGCACCACAAGTCAAAATAATGAAGTGTTGCAAAGCCCTAGAGAGGAGTCTGCACTTGAAGCATTGTACAAGGCCGTGGTCTTCACCGCATCATGCATCGCAACGAGTATGGTGTTTTCCTCTTCGTCTACTTCTTCACTCTCTGATGTAAACAAGTTATCCAACACAAACACCATGCCGACAAGTGGTGTCTTACCGTCACCGATGATGCCCTCCGATACTGCTTTCGGATTGCCTCTCTCTCGAAACTCCAACGACGCCAGGCCTACACATTTTATGGATCCTATTCGCGAATGTATCGATAACGCAACTTCCGAGGTGCAAGCAATCATAAAGAACCCATTACTCTCAGAGGGCGTAGTGCAGACTTTTTTTGATGAAGCACACTCTCTGAGAGCTTTGCCTGTTCTAAATAAGCGAAGCCGACGCCAGAGATTACTACTCGATGTATTAAAATCTAATGAATCTCATTGGATTGCTGTTCAACGCAGCTTCGACGCGCTAGCATCTAGGATTCCTGATAAAATAGCCACCATTATGGCGAATTTAGCTGCTATTTCCATTTATTTAAGTAATGAGCCTCTTCAAACCACCGGTAATCAATCCGATGAAACTGCAAAATCGCTTATGGAACATGTTCTGCGTCGTCTAACTCCCGTTCGAAACGAGATCCTTTTACGCTATAGCAAAGAATCAAAGAGTTCGACTACTCCTTTTAACATCCTGGATGAGGTGCGGTACCGTGGCAACATTTTGCTTTCTATTACTTGTTCCTTAGATGCCGCGGTAAGCGATGACATTTTGTATCTCTTCCCGCGAAATGCCACTGTTGATGTTCCGTCTGCTTTTCCAACACAACCGAGGCAGCGATGGTTGTGGGTGCGTCGCCGTCTGAGGCTTTTAGCCATCCGGAGACGTGTTGATGTTTGTCAAAATGATGCTTTAAGTCTTAGCTCCAGCATTAATTTAGTGCATCAGGTCGCCTGCTCTATTAGTTTCAGTGCAGATGATCTTATAAATGCTTATCGGGAACGCGAGGAGTTTGCGACCCTTCGCCTTCGGGGCTTAACCCAGCTGTTGAGCTTAATGCAAACTCAGCCGTCTTGTACGGAGAATATTTCCTTCCTGTTAAGTGGTGGTTTTGGACACCAACGACAACTCCACTCTGAGGACAGTCTCAGGGGCTGTCGGCGTGGTTGTGTTTGGAAACTACGTAGTGTTGAATACGACATTTTGTGGCATTTTATGAAGTACACAAAGGATCGTTCTTGCTGTAATCGGGAAGGAATAACCACAAAATGGACATCCGAGTCACATAAGAAGGAATGTGAAGAGGGTCTTACAAGGGATATTTCACCGCCGGTGCTTTGTGCAGCCCTGAGGCTCACTTGGCAACCTCGTGGCTTTGCCTTTCTCTGTAAATATAATGTTGTGGAATTCATCTTTAGAACTTACATCTCAATTTTTGTTGAAAATCCAAAGAAATCTGTGAATCATTCACTTCCGCCCTTGCATAAAGTCGATCTTGTGGCACGCCAACATCTCCGAGAAGTGTATCAGTTCAGGACGAAGATGCGTCAAACGGTCTCTACCTCTTCTAAGCGGCCAATTTCACGGGGAAAGGAGCAGTTCACCCCGGGGGCGATAAATGGAGGTGACATGGATTCCTTAGAAGGTACACTAGAACGGACTCCACACGAACAAGCAAAGTACATGACTCTTGACTGCATCAAACACTTGGGTCTGCGATGCGCGGCAGCTTTGCAGAATAAAAATCTAACCTGCACCGAGCAAATGGCCTGCAACATGTTCCTCATGCATTTTGTGCAAATAATTATAGAAGAAATGAATTTATGCCTTTCCTACGTTCAGCACAGTACACAGGAGTTTCAACCGAATCAGCTCTTACAAGGATGCCAGAACCGGGGCGGTGGAGGGAAGAAAACATCATGCATATATTCGCCAGAACTTAGCATCGTGCTGGAGCAAATCGAGGTTTTTTCAAGTCTTCTTTCTACCATAATGGGTGCCTTTTCTCCTTCTTACATATTCAATGATGCTGCTCTGAGCAATGCTGTTGCTGCTGCCGCTTCGCTTTTTTATCACTTAATCTCTTTAGAGGTTTCATTGTGGTCCAAAGCCCTTTCTGATGATGGGTTTTCCACACACACGTCGAACAATGCTTGCGATGAGAAGAGTGAACGCACAGAGCTCAAGTTCCTTACCCTTACGAAGCTATCCGCACAGATCCGTTTAATTGGGTGTATGCTCATGCACATTTCACCAGAAATAGCGAATGAATGTTTTGCGTGTAGTAAAATTAAAGAACTTTGCGCTCTGTATATAGTGGACCTCTCTCTCGAAGCACGAAGAGGAAAAAGTCCGAACTCAGCATTTCTATCACTCTTTGCTTTTGCCGTACGATGTCTTTCCACTACAGGAATTAGCAGCCTCTCAAAGCACGCTTTATTAGCTCTTCGGCAGCTCCTTACCCAGTTGGTCTGGGCGGCGGAGCTGGAGGGACTTGCATCGATCTTCAAAATGGACTTAGAAGCGCACAACACCTCCTCGGCAAAGAGTACTTCGCAACCGAAACAGGATTTCGATTTACCAAGTGAAGAGGCACGTTGCATGAACTCCTGGAGGCTCCTAAGTTGGGTTTCAGCACTGGGAGGGTGGATCCCGCTTGTGCCATCGGAGGGGATGCGTGTGTATTTTCATGAGGAAGGCAATAGTGCTATCGTTGAAGGCTATTTAATTGACGGTGCTGAGGGAAACGATACTGTAACTGTAGTCCCCACTCAACGCGCTTGCGGTGATATGAGAGACCTTATTAAAGGGCGCTTGCTTTTTACCAGCGTCTGTCGCGAAGTTGACCCTACCAGGAAAAATTATACCACACCTTCGAGTGTTTCTAAGGATTGTAATAATCCAGTAGTTTTTGGAGAGGAGTACCAGGTGAAGCGAGATTTCATACTCCAGCCTTCTCCTCTTGAGCCCTCAGCCCTGGCACCGTACGAAGGAATCGTTAACGATTATATCGTTCCCGCTGTTGCGCACTTTTTACCAGATCAACATGATAGAAGCCACCTGATGAGCTTGGATTTGGTAGAGGTGGTTGTCCTCGGCGGGTTTGTGCAGATGTCTTTTCAATGCGCACTGACGCATCCCCCACTCTTCGACGAACTCCTTGAGAGTGAGATTTTTTTACTAATGAGACGCTTTGCGTGTATCCACAAGCCACATTTTCCAATGCCTATGGATTATATTGGCGATTACGCAGGTCGTGCCTTACACAGATTCATAACCTTACTCCGTTTGGAGTACTCACAAAATAGACATTTAGGAGTCGCTTCAGATGCCCCCAAAGATAACAAAGGAAGTTTAAACGATCCTAAAAGTCCCAAGCGTAGCGGTGGTGGTATACCCGCGCATGATGGTGAAATTAAATCCTTTTTAACACATGCCTCTCCGGAAATCCGAGCGACACTACAATCTCAACAGCGTATAGCGTCGTTACTGTCAAACTCATTCCTTTACTACGATGTGACGCCGTTGAGTCAACTTTCTGATTCACTTGGCACCGGGGTGAGTTCTGGAGTCCGGCCCATTTTTTTTCACCCTGATGCTTCTCACTTTCAAAACGCTTGCTTTCTTCGGGATCCGACAAATCTATCGGAGGCGATGTATCGAAGAGGCTCAACTGATCACATTCCCTGGCCTTCCTCATTGGAGGAAGGGGATATGACCGACTCTGAGCAGCGACTTCACACAATTGCTAGTGCATCCCGTTCGGAGAGACAGACCTCTGCGCTTTGTTTCTGCCTTCAAAATCCGGAAAACTGTGCACCGCTCTCTGATGCCAAAGTTGTCATCGAGCCCATTGAGCCCCGTACTCGCTCATTCCCATTGTGGGCAAATGCCATTGCTTTCGAGGCATCCATAATGCTTAGGGACCAACTGTTTCCAATGCTTGGTGATTGTTGTGCTATTCCGTCACCACAGTTTTCCTCAACATCTGTGTGTACGCGAGAGGCTTTGCCGGGTCGGAAACGCGATGCGAATGTTTTCTCCATCTTGACCGTCTATGCGTCCGTGGATTCACACTCAACAAGCAACACTAACGGAAACGATCAAAAGGAGCCCGATGGGCTGGTTTCATCCGGCGCACCTATCTTAAAGTTGTTTGTTGAGAAGGGGAATCTGAAATGTACAGTGGATATACCTCCTAATCTATTAGGAAGTACCAAGCAAAGTAGTAGTCTGCTTCTCAATAGTAATGATACGAGTAAACTTGTTGAGTGTAGTTTGCCTCTGAAAGCCAAACACTGGAACTGCTTCATGCATGTTGCGGTAATAGTGGATGCCCAACGTTTAACTCTGGCTCGAGCGGGTGAGGTCACGTCTGTGCCGCTTCCTTTAGCCATACTTAACGAGCTTACCTTCATTTTCCAAACCAAGGGACTTGTACGTTATCTTGTTTTAGGCAACACCATACCTCCGGATGACTCCCCCAAATCTGCCACCAATACTCAAAGTGAGAATACCACCTCGCTGTCCCCAGAGACGGAAAGTATGTTAGGCAATCAGTACCAGCAAATAGTCTTCATCACAAGTTTTCGAATGACAAATTCTACACTTTTTTTGAAAACTGCCATTAAAGACATCGCCGAGATGGTGACACGTGACCATATACTGATTAACCTAAATGATTCTTCTGAAGGTAATACATGCCTATTTCAACTACGTGAGGGGACCGGTGATGCAATCGGATCCTTTTGCCGGCAGTTTAGAGGCAAACTCTCGGGCTTCGTTCGATGGACTAGTTGTCCATCTCACCTGGCCTCTTTCCTGTTCGATCTACCAGACAAACCACTCTTGGTCTCGAATCGCGATGAGCCCTTTTTATTTCCTCATGAAGAGGTCACCACCTTCATGAATTCTCTCGATTTTAATGGCATCACGCTCATTACCACCCAGTTGGTGTGGTCGATGGTAATTCGCTTATTGCAGGCGACTGTGAAGCAAGCTATGCAACAATCTCTGAGTCCCGACTATCGCTTGCACGTGCTGTGTGGTCAAAGTTCGGAAAGAGTCCGGCGGCGGCAACAGCAGGACGGTAATCGTCTTGTGCTCACAGAGTCCAATTATTTCAACCCTTTTCGTATCTTTAACTACTCCCAACTTGCACGACAATTGGTTGATCTATTCTCTTATGGTGATGAAGACTATTTGCCGGTTAACAGCGCGAACATGTTGTGTGATTTCATGCATTACGTGATACAGTATTTTCATTCAACGAACCAGACCGATTGGTATGAGGAGCTTATAGAGGAAATGGCACTCACTTTGAAGTTAATGCTCAATTTAGAGGAAGAAGTTTTTCAGATGGAAATACCCCTTACGGTGTGTATGACTGGCAACGACAATAGCAATTGCGATAATACTCACAGCAGCCCCACGGCCAAGAGCGATCCAAAGTTACCTTTACTTATGCCACTTACACTCCTTTCTGGTGGCAAAGGCCGTGTGAAGATCGTATCCACCATAAATGGTAGGTGTGAACAACTTACCGTTTTCAGAGATCGAGCTCTGAAAAATGTATTGGTGAAATATCCTGACCTTCAGGGCATATGGTCCGATACTGAGACGCCTCTGATACCAGACCGATGCATGCCCTGGTTCTACTTCAGCGTCACCCCTGCCTCGCGACCGTCGCCGCAGTCACTGGGTGGCCCCTTTGCGTCGCAGTTAGGAAGGAAACTATGCTTAGTTATTACAGTTAGCAGTTTTCGAGGTGTTGTCATGGACATCCTTTTTTCTGCATTCACACAGGACATTAAAAAGGCAGCAGCGCTACAAGCTTGCAAAGACCGTTCAGATGGATCGAAATGTCTTAATGTTGCCCAAATCGAACGTTATCTTCCAGCATTTTTGAACGCTACCATGGTCCATTACCTGGCAAACTGTGGTGCTTCTTCTCATGTGCCCAAAGATCGTTATATCCGTTACCGTACACATGCCATAAACATTCTTGCTTGCCTTTTCGATCTATGGGCATCATTTCCACATCTGCAGCCTCACGATCATGTTCCCCTAGACGTGTCCTTATCGCATATCAACGTCTCCTTCATGGAGGCTTTATACCACCGCGGGAGGTCGATAGGGTTGAGCTTTGATCACGCAAACGCCATGACCTCCAGCTTGGGTGTTTATTATTCTTGCGTCCATTCACTTTTTGCATTGATATTTAACGCAATTCATCTCGATTGCTTGTGGGCTAAACAGTCATTCCGACAGCGTGTGGCAAATGGATGGCATAAAATTCTGAAGGTATGGGGAAGCTGCGCGACGCCACTGTCTAATGAGGAGACGGCCCTATTCACCACCGCCTCTCGTGAGTCGAGCAAGACCAAGGTTCAACTTTCTATCGATGCAGTGCCACCACTGGAAGTCTCCACTATTTCCCATAGTCCAGACAGTGGTAAGACCGCTAGGAAGACCATGTGTCCTTTACAAGTTTCGTCATTAACATCCAATAGGGTTGATTCTATTGAAAACAACATGGACATGATGCTGAATACGCCTGATGTTCGATATGGGGGGCATATTGTCACTATGAGGATTCTTCAACCTTCCCATAAGGCTCTTGCCTTGACCAGTGCCTCGGTGTCCTGCACAGCTCTTGGAAACGGAGAGTGGCGTGTGCGGCGTAGCAGTGGTGAAGCAGTGGCCATCAGTTCATTTGGATTTTCATCTGGACGGTTTTACTTTGAAGTGCGACTCTCAGAGACCGAAGGGTCTGTTTCAGTTGGCGTCATTACAGACCGCATCCAGTTGAACAAGTCCAGTGTCGGGACGATTGGATCTTATGTAGACTCATGGGGGTTTGATATCACCCATCAGTGCTTGCTGATCGAGGGCTATCGCTCTGAACTAGAGGAACACATCAATTGGGCTCCAGGCGACACCATGGGCGTGATGATGGATCTTGATCAGAATGAGCTAATATTCTTATACCATGGGAAACGAATAGCGGAGCTTAAAATGCATCGCAAGCAAGCCTTCACCTCCAAATCTCCCAGATCCTTGCGCACTGTCTGCAGCTATTTTCCATGCGTATCAGTGAATAGTTGTATGTGTGTTGTGAATCTAGGCGAAGCACCCTTCACGGAAAACCTTCCATTAGGCTATTTGCCGGTGAACCCCAAGCTCTACTGCAATCCGCAGATATGCTTATTTTGGTACGCCATGATCGCCGTCCAATGGGTATCCGACATAGACAAAAAGAAGGCGAATGATGGTACGGTTCAGCAAAGCTTCTCACCTGACAGTGCGTTCCAAACGGTGCAGAGCTCCATTCAGAAGTATTGTGAAGGACGTGACGGACCGCTCTCAATAGACATTTTATGTTCTGCGCCCCACGTGTGTGTGAATCGTCACACCAACGAAATCTATACAGAGAACCAAACTCCAGGGCCGTGTGTTATGCAAGGAGGCGTTGCAGTCCGCCGTGGCCGTTGGTACTACGAAATTCTTTTGAAAGGAATCATTGATCTCAGCGTTGGGTGGACTGTTGCCGAGACAAATAGAAGCCGGGGAGGGGGGAGTGCGGGAGGTAATACTAGAGTTTTGGGCGATGACAGCGAATCGTGGGTCCTTGAAACGGAACGCATGGTGGTCCGGCATAATGGGCGTGTAACGCGTCTACGGCATCATAACTGGCGTGAAGGCGATGTCCTAGGTTGTCTGCTGAACTGCGATTCTGGCACAATGAGCTTCACCGTGAATGGAAGGCTGGTGTTGGAGGTGCACGACATCGAAGGGGATGGGATTTTGTTCAAAAATGTTGTCTGTCCGAATGTAGGTCTTTCACCCATTGTCAAAGCGCACTATATGCGGGGATCCATAGCATTTCTCTGCAATCGACGCGATTTATTATACCCGCCTGGAAAATCATACAAGCCCATCGGTGCCCAAGACGTCATCACAGACGCCATGCGGACCTACTATCTCTCTGTGGAGGATCACCACGATGCGATTGGTAGGCAGTCATATTCACTTTCTAAATTAGAAAAAATGGCGTCCAAGATGAGCAGAAACATGGATCTTAACCTTCATAATTTTTCTGCACATGGCCTGTGCTATGCGCTCGAACCCTCAAATCTTGTGTACCCCAATTCTACAGGCATTGAGCTGGAAAGTGAGGTAGACATCCGATGCCATGATGCCACTCTCCAAGGTGTCACCCATACAACTTCCATCGTTTCGACCGAAACTGGGGTCAGTTCGATGAAGGGCTCGCTTGAGATACTCAAATTATTTTCTAGTGCAACCGAGGGGCTGATGGGCTTCGCTCAGGAAGTGTCTATCCCGAACCGAATCGACTGCAGCCTCGCTTACCCGGTGTATATGAGCCCTTTTAGGGATTCTCTGTATCAATTAAGCCGATTCGCATTACCCTACTTAGGGATTCGTACAATACGCCATGCGTTGCAAGAGACCAGCAACACTACTTGCGAGACTTTACGACTGCGAGTAAATCGTCGCAAGGCGCTTGCGACCATGCAGGCCAACGTCCTCAACACACCATCGACCCTCTCGATTTGTCTGCGTGAGAGTTTGTTTGGTCAATTTTTTTCTCTACTAGCGGATAAAGATCCCAAGTTTTATTGCCGAAATCGAAACCTATGGACGGTGAGCTTTTACGGGGAAGGTGCCGATGATGTGGGTGGTCCCTATCGTGAAAGTCTCTCTCAATTGTGTTCTGAGCTCATGAGCACCAAACTTCCTCTTTTTATACCCATCCCCAGTCAAGTGTCTGACATAAGCGGGCAGTGGGATGCTTTTGTGATACATCCCCTCTTGGCACCCCCGGTAAACACCGCGATGTACCGTTTCATCGGGCGATTGATGGCGGGATGTTTGCGTGGGGCAGAGCCACTCTCACTTTACTTCCCAAGCTTCATATGGAAGTTCTTGGTGGGTGATCCTATCGGCATGGATGATCTGGCACGGGCTGACTCGGCGACCTTGCGTGCACTCCAATATATCGAAAACTTGGTTTCATCGGCCTCTTCGACCGAGGAGGAGGTTAAAAACATCGATGAGGAGCTATCAACCGTACTGTGCCCTGGTGGCTTCGTGGTACAAGACGATATTGGGATCGAACATGAAATGATTTACAACGGCCGAAACATCGTGGTAAATCATACCAATGCACTTGATTACGTGCGTCTGATGCTATCCTTCAAACTGAATCGACTGGTATCCGCGCAGCTGTACGCGATGCGCGAAGGGCTTATTCAGTCGGTCCCGCTTTACGCCATTTCAAGCTTAAAATGGTTTGAGCTTGAGGCGTTGGTTTGTGGACAGCGAGACTACGACCCAAATGCACTATTGGACGCAGCCCGCTACGAAAACCTGGAATCGAACGACACTAGAGTGGTCTATCTGCGGCAGGTCTTGTGTGGCTTCACGCGGGAGCAGCGGGCGCTCTTCGCACGCTTTGTTAGTGGCCGTGAGTGCTTACCGCATGGAATTCAACTCAAGATTCTACCGGATCGCTCCAACGCAGGGCCAACGGGAGGTCAACACTTTATTCAACGGCAACTGCCACCCGAATCGTTCTCACTGCAGGTACCGCCTGAAACGCACCAGAGGGAATCCGCTCCCTCCCTATCGACGCAAGCGGTTATGGCATCTTCTGATCAGGATATGGAGGCATTCGATGATGACCGTCTGCCTCATGCTTCAACCTGTTTTTACTGGTTGACCATTCCTCGATACAGTTCGGTGGAGGTTATGCATGACAAGTTACTCTACGCTATTGAACAGTGCATTGATATTGACGCCGATTTTCGTGTGTATGATGAAGAAGTCGGGGCTCAGCTAGATCGACCGACCTTGACTAGAGTGACTTTGGAAGCTGAAGACGAGTTTGAGGATTTTTCCCACTTACTCTAGAGATTTTTTCCTATAGATCCGTAAACTTTTCAACCGAAGGTATCATTAGAAGAAAGCCGTGATGGGTGAACAGAAGGGTTCTGTCGGGGGGATGATGTGCTGTTTTACAGCAGTCTGACCAATCCATTGGTGAATCCAATGAAAATGCAAAACAGCGGCACCTGCTCTGGTTTGGTATGGTTGCTGTTTAAAGTACATGAAGAGCGTTTGCCGTTAATGGATTAATCTTTGTTAAAAAGACTTATAGTTCTTCGACGCCTGCTTTCGGTAAGCAACCGGCTCCAGTGGCGTTAATAAACTCCTCTCTACACTATCGAACAAAGGGATTGCTTAGTAAAATTTTTTTATTGCGTGACATTGTATAATAGAAAAAAAAATTGCCAGGCTATACATCTTTATTCATTCCTTTTAGTTTATTTAAACCTTTTTATTTGAATGCACATTAAAATCTTGTGACTCATTAATTTTTGATTTCGATGTATATTCGCTGTAGGGAACTTCGGAGGGAAACGTAGGGTGTTTTCCCTTTCCATCCATTTTTTTTCTATCAAATTACACGAGGAATAAATAACATATACAAAAGAACTGTATTGTTGGCTGTATGCCCGGTGTATTTTCCATCTTCCTTTCATTGCTTATTGGAGTCTGTATGTTTATGAGAACACAGTGGTTCAAATATATCTAATATTCGTAAACACTCAATATTCCTATCCTAATTTTTTCACTTTCTCTGAGTTTTATCTTTCCTTTAGCGTAACATTTTTTGCTTATCCTTTGTTTACAAAAAAAAAAACACTTACAGGTGGTCATTTCATCAGATTTCTGCACACGCAAACTCGGATTTTGTACATCCCAATTGTATAGTCCTCCCCCCGACTTCGTCCAAAAGGCAATGCATTATCCATCGCAGGAATCCCCTTACAATGTGTACCCACCTGGACCGCCCCCCAACCAGTCTCTCCCGCCTACTTACGTGCATCTTTCTGCACAGTACCCCAACGAGTCTCTTTCCAATGCTTGTGTGTATCCGCCACCTCTTTATTGTCCCCCGGGCCCTTATCCGTTTGACACATCCACGCTTCCGCCAATCCCAGAGTTGCCAGTCGTGTTTCAAAATGCCGACAAGGATGGCAGTGGTGCCATTGACGTTATCGAGCTTAATAATGTTCTTTCCTCGAGAAGTATGACTTTCAGCCTTTCCACAACAGAGAAATTACTAGATATGTTTAGTAAGGAACGGAGAGGGCTTGTTACCTTCGATGAGTTCAAGGGGCTTTACTTTTTTGTCAAGATCATGTATGACCGATTCGTTGAGCGTGATATCTCCAAAGAAGGACGTCTAAGTGGAGAAGAAATACGTTTGGCAATTCGCGAGGGTGGCTACAAAATTTCGGAAGAAACATTTCAAGCATTAATGTCTAAGTTTGACCGTAGCAAGAGCGGCTCATTAGGATTTGATGACTACATTGAACTGTCCATTTACATTTCCAAGGTACGCAGTGTTTTTGGATATTATGATCGGCAGCGTACAGGGGAAGTGGTTTTTAACTTTAACACCTTTATGGCTGGAAGTCTCTCTACACTTTAAAAAATTTCAATGATTTTTTTGATATTTATTTTCTTATGGTTACGTAACCTTTTTTTTTTCATATCATATTCCATCTTTCGGTTATAAATGCATGGAACCTATGTGGTATTATATTTTCAATATGGAAGGACTTTTTTAAGCATTGTTCATAGTTGTTAGAAAATATTTTTTAGTCATTAGGTATTAGGCATGTTAAGAACATCGTAATTTATTTTCGACGGTATACGTTTTTTTTAATCTTGAACGAGCTCTATTCAAGTCTAATTTCTGAATTGCTTTGAACTATTTTCTGACGTCATCGAGGATACTTCTTTAAGTTTTATATACCTTGACAATAATAATCATAATAAAAAAGGATGCTGAATAGAAGTTGTGATTAGCGTTATTTCACGTCTAAATGTTTAGAAATCACTGCTGAAAGATGTCTCCAAAGCTATACATTATGTTTTGACAAATAATCTAAAAACGCACATTTGTAAAGGGCAAAAATCATAAGCGCCGTGGAGACCCTATAGAGGACTTCTTATGTAGTGAATAAAGGGTAAAATTTCATAGGTTGGAACCCGAGTCATTTTTTCTAAATTTATCAATGAAAAAAAGGGAAAAGGTGTTGCACCGTTTGCTTAAGGTCCTTAATAATGAAGGAAATAAGGGTATGCCACCAAATGTAAAAAAACTCGTTTCGATTACAAGGAGCGAGGAATAAGGAAACCCCTAAATTATGACTTTATATGCTTGGTCGTGGGTTCTAAGATCTAAATTATTCACTGTTGAAGTATTTAAACTCATCTGTATCTAAAGGGATCGTGTGCCATAGATCACATTGATTCAGCGTAAGTTAGGGTTCACGCCCAAATAAAAAGCTTAACCCTTGTCTTTAGAAATCATGATTGATCACTCATTAAATGAGTACTATTCAGCCTGTCACCTGGATAGTGACAGCGATGTTTCGTCCACCACTTCACCGGACGACGCTGGTATCGGTTCATGGTGTGCCACATCTGTGGTAGTCTCGCCGCTCCGCGGCCGTGCTCGAATGTTGGGTGCTCAACACTGCTCAGGCGGTGTGAACATCCGCCACAAGCAACCGTCTTTTCAGGATAAAGAAAACAACTTTGAACGGTGTTGTGCGGGTGACAACGAAAGGGCGTTTTCGCTAACCCGGGGTCAAACAGCTAAGCAAATCATCCGAACCCTGAAGCAACCTTTTAGTCCGCACCTAGTCTCTACCACCATGGTAAAAAAGTATAACAGTGCGCAGCGTCTCCCTCCGGTGTGTCTCCAGGAAGGCAATGACCACGACATGGGGAAGAAAAGCTCAGCACTGTATCGGAATGAAAAAGACTTTCGAGAGCTTCTTCTTTTTGATGTGCTGTGTGTTTTAAGGTTAAGTGCATGCAACTTTTGTGTAAAAGAAACGAACCTTGGTGAGTCGTATAGCATGGGCAATAGCAACACCAAGCATTCTGCCGTGTGGAGACTCAAGCCCGAGGTACGTGACCAACTACTTTCCGAAAAAGGCAGGGCCATGTATCTGAGCTCATTGCAGAGGCTACTGGGCATCGCTGACGATGTCCATGCACTCCAAGCACAACTTGATGCTTTTTATGAACAACACCAGAGGATATCGGCAGAGGCCGATTCAACGTATACGCTGGAGGCCGCGTTTTTCTCCGGCAAGAGCAACATTGGGGCGTGCACGGTCCATGCGGATCGTGCGATCGGTTTTACATCCCTTAATGCTCTCCTTCGATTAGCGGAGCTTGTGAGCGCATGGATACTCGAATTTAAATCCTGGGTCTTTCGGCTTCAGGAGGATCTTTTGGGACACTTCGGATCGTATGAACCAATGGAACCGTCCATGAAATGTCCAGAGATGGTGGGGCTTCGTGCGAGCCACTTCAATACCACAGTCAGCGAGACACCATGTCCTGTTTCTCCTTTCGTAAAGGACCTCCTCCCAAAGGACGAGGAAAAGGAACTACTCCATTTAGCACCCCAACAGTGTTCTCTAGAAGGAGTGAGAAAAATACATAAAACCGAGGAGACACCCACCGGTACTATTCTAAGAGCGCATTCCGTGAACACTGGGTATGTTTTTCTCGATAATCTGTGTCTTCCCCAAATTGTCGCTGCGGTTGAACACAATGGCATCCTCCTGCAGCGATGCCTGATGATCATCAACAAGAGCAATTGCTTTAATGCATTTCAAACAAGGCTAGAGGACTCCGGTGGTGTGGCAACAGATGGAGGGAGATCTGAAAAGAACAATGAGGAGGGCACTTCTGGTAAACCCCCTCGGACCGAGTTTGCCTTCTTGAACCAATGCACCGAGCTCGGGGCTGCACTACTTGACCATCTCATCATTCAGCTCAGTGCGCTACAACATCCCAGTGCTATGGATTTGTATCGTTTGTATTTATCGCTGCTTATTCACTGCTCTTGGCCATATGTTATTCTTTCGACATCCGCCATGTTTGGCTTTGTCTACGGCATCGACTCACAGAAATGGCGTCAATTACTGCCGCGCCTCTTTCGCTCTTCATTCTCACACATTCGTGTTGGTGGTGCACACCGGCGTTACCCAACCGATGTCTTATCGTTGATTTTGAGCTGCGTCGACTATCAAAAAAGTGCCGTTTCGTTGGAACCTCTAAAAACTCTTTCAATGCTTTCGTCTGCGCGGCGATTCATTTTACACAATTTTCAAACCTTTGCGAAAGAAAAACGCCATCACACAATGCCAAAGAATCATTGCGAGAGACCAAACACTTACACTGGACCAGCTTTTTCTGAAACGAATCAAAATGAGGAAGCTATGAAAATATGCCGGACGACAAATTTGAACACACGGGATGTTCTTCACCCACAAGTCGACTACTCTTGGCATGCGTCTAAGCGTGAAAACGATGGTGTTGACGCGGTAGGCCTGCATTTAGCATCCTTCTTGGAACCCCGAAGAGCGTTGCCGCTGTGTTTTGCCACTATATCATCTAATCCAGTGGTGGGCCATAGCAGCTTTTGTGTTGCAAAGGAAGATCCAGGAGGGAACGACGATAAGGCTTCGAATCATCATCGGGGCTCGTTTTGGTATCTTCAGGTCTCTGACTTGGAGACGTTTCCTGAGCTTCGCTTGACTAAACGGTTGTCCGATTTAAAGACAGGTCCTATCGATGGGCAGAGTGGGAAGGGAGGGGGCGCGGAAGGCGGCTCAGACCTTGACAAGAGTCTCCTTTGGATGGATAAGACGATGCCGGCTGCCAGGTGGATTGCCGCCGCACTGCTTATTCCCATCGGGGTTGTAGTACAGCAACTCCAACAGCGACGGGCGGCAAGACTCTTCCGAAGTTTAGACCCGGCTTGCCTACCTAGTCGATCTAAAGGATCCCAGCGTCTCCTTGATATATTCATTCAGTGGCCTGACGAGCAGGACGACCACTTGCTCGCTGGTGAGGTGTCTTTCGAGGACTATCTTGAAACAGGAAAACCCCAGTCATTGAATTCAGCAGAAATAGTTGGGCTCCGAAACAGTGGCGTAACGTTCTCGCCCCTTCCTCGGTCATTAGTTTCCTTTAATCTTGCTCACGCGTTAGATCTGCTCCTCGATGTGGCGTTGTGTCGAGACAAGGCCTGCATCCTCGAAAGTTTCCTGGAGCGTCTTTATGTAGAGCCACGCTGGTGGCAACGCACGAGTACTTGTCGAAACTTTAGCGGTGGCTGTGGTGGTTCTGCTAAGGGAACTGCTTCCACTTTCATCAGCAATCTCTTCACCGAAGCGCTTCGAGGAAAACCATATGGAAATCTGGTGGAGTTGTGTATTTTACCCAAACGGAAAAAAATAGCGGCTCCTGAAATGGTCAACTCTCGCGGTGTGTCGAAAATCGTTGACCCATGTGCCGAAGCTTATGTTGAGGTGGATGCCGAGAAAGGCTCTTGCGACAAGAATCTTCTCGGATACGAAATGCTGGATGTGTTTGAATCTTTTCAGCTAATTTTTCATTTTCCCGAAGAACTGGAATTGATTCTTCTCCCTAAGAAGCTTTCTGTTCGGCTTGGGAGTGAGGCCGGTGCTGTTGAGAGGACCTACGCGACATTGTTTTGGGGAAAACGCCGCGGGGGAGTGACCGATAGCCCCTGGGATGATAAGCAGCTTCACCACGATCCCACTACGAGCAGTACCATAGCAGGTAGGGGAATTGGGGATGTGAATGATGCTAGGTCGGACGATGTGTGGAGCTCGGCGTTTGGGTATATGTGTGCTCTCCATTTTACCCAAATCACGTTGCGGGAACATCGCAAGTTGTTGCATATCCGAGATACCCAAGACAACCAACTCCTTTCCATCTTGGGCCGCCCGATCCCTTTCGCTTCATCGACTCCTATTAGTGGCAACCGCAACCATAGCGAGGCAAATTCACTACAATATGTTGCCCGCAGTCTTGGCAGTTCCTATTATTTGCTTTCCTTTGCGGTGGATACATTTCTTACCTTCACACAGAACGAAGTTGCAATTGCGATTTATAAGCTGGAGCATTTGTTTACAAAGGCGGAGACCCCCAATTCTACCATTCAGCTTTGCCAAGAGCTCGATACGGCTCTGGTGAGGGTTGAGTACATTTGCTTCCTGGCAGGACATAGCACTGCCTCGCTTTATAATCATTCACTTCAAAGAGGTACGGACAAGGCTAGAGGCATCGACACCGAGGTGGATGTCAGGCACGTGTTGCGTGCCCATATTCATACCATTTTGTCTTTGGCTCTGGACCCGTCTCGTATGCCACCCAAGTTCCTTGGAACGCGTTCTAGAAATGCTATAGAGGCCCTAGTGGCACTCGTAAGCGCGCTCCAGGACTTCTCCTTATTGAAGAATCGATTACGGCCGCTACTGGTTTTGTTAACTTTCAATAATTTCTTCGGCTCTAATAATTGTACTTCTTTTCGGTTTAGGTGAATGGTGAGAATGTCTCCACAAATCTGTGTTTTACCCTTTTTAGTTGATCTTTGCTTTGCCTCCATCTTTAGGCAACTTGGACATCCAGTAGGGAAAAAACGTCTTCTCACTTTTCTCCTCTTCCTTGTGATCCTATTATGCAGCTTGGATGAATTTTTAAGCATATAGTGATCACTAAATCTAGTCACAGTGCGTTCCCTGGGGTTCTACTCTCGTCATGCCCGCACCAACCTCCCCCAAACGTACGATGGAGCAAATGGGGACTCCGACACGTAAATTTAGACATTCAAAGCGTTCGAAAAGCAATAAGGCTCAGGTTCCTACAACGAATATACTTCAAAACTCATCTTCTTCGCAATTCACCTCCAGCGAAATTGATGAGCCTGCGGCTATGGAGATCCCCTCAACGACGCACGAGAGCGCCGACTATCCATTAATACTCCCAAAGAACCGTACACCTCGATCAGCAGAAGAGAGTGGCTCTGGTGATTCGAGGTCCTCCCCAAAACGAAAACCGCGTCGCCACGCAAAAAGATCCGGTTCCAAACGTGCATGTAAGTCCAAAGATTGTGAGACGACGGTGATAAGAGAGGTGCAACAAGCGTACCAATTGGCCATGTCGATTCTTCCCAAACGCGACCGTGTAGGGGGGCCAGAGGCTGTCGCAAACGCCTTTCTCGATGTTCACCATGTTGAGCTATTTGATCACTGTCTACGATCAACCGCCGCTGCGGAGTACTTTATGAATGTCACACATCTTTATCTTCAAAAAAACGAGCTTGAGGACGTTGAGGGGCTGCAACTCCTTTCCAATCTCCAAGTTCTTGTCCTTCATCACAACCGGATCCGCGCAATTGCTCCTTTGGCTCCTCTAAAAAAAATGATGTACCTAGACATGGGCTACAACTTTGTCGCTCAGATCCGTCCCGCCTCGGACTTGCCATGCCGTTCACTGAAGTGTTTAAATCTCATCGGAAACCCGTGCTGCCCGGTCCCCAGCGATTCGCTTGATTCGGTTGCCACACCCTCTGATGACTTACCCCATCCAGGGGACTCCTCTGAAGCTATCACAAGCTACCGTCAAGCGATCTGTGACGCGTGCTTTCAAATGGAGGAGCTTGACAACATGCCATGTCACACCGACAACACGAGTCAATGGGGCAACTTGGAAAAGTGGGATGGAAAAGGAAAAAATACTCGTGTAGCCGCCTTTACACCCTATTTCACTCCAACAACAGAGAAGGTCAACCCCATAAAAGATGAAGCCACCCATTCCAGTGCTAAAAAGGAGCATGCAAGTCCATTTAGCAACCGAAAGTCTGAACCCACGCGTGAAAAGGGTGAAATCATTCCTTTAGAGGGGGGGGGTCTGTGCCAAGTACAATTAAAAATGGACCGCAACATGAGACCCTTGCACAATCCGCATCTTGTGTTGCCACCACACCCTCAACAGGTTGTCGAACAAAGTTGAGGCTGATTGCACAAGCCCAGCATGCTCGAGCACAGAGGGAGTCTTCTTGCTCGACTTCAAACAATTCGAGGTCTACGACTCCTGATGGGAGTGAAGAGGGTAACGTGAACAGTGCAAGGGACGCATTAGAGGTTAAACAGCGGGAAAGCGCTGAGAAGGGGGACTGCGTGGAAGTAAAAGAGGAGGCACCCATCCCTGCCAGTTCCTTCCACGGTGATTTACCTGCTGTTTTTTCAGGAGACAAGGGAAACGACGAGGCACGCCTCAGGTCACACTTCGCCCTCCTCTCACGGAAACGTTGTCAATTGCTTTTAAGCCCCAAAACCGTGTCTCCGAATAGGCATTTTGCGTCTGATTCAGAGGATCCTCTATTGGATACTGCCAAGACTAACGATCTCAGTGTTCACCTTCCAGGTATAGAGGATGAAACCCATGCGGCGATGGTCACAGACTTGCAGAGGCGCCACAGGAGGGTGTATGAGGACATGAACTATGCCAACAACGTTGCCTACAACCGACTGGAGCGGACACTGGAGAACCAATGGTCTTCTGTTGATAAGGTGGTGCAAACCCGTCACGCTATTGTCATGGAGCGACAGCGCCGATTGCGTGCAGTCCCTTGCGAGCGATCCGTAGCCTATATGGAATCGCTCGAAATATTACAGAAAGAATCCAAGTGCGATGATATAAATCGCTACCGGTGAGTGCGTTCTCCTTTTATTTCTACAACCGAATGTTTACATTACTTGAATATCCGCTTTACGTGATGACCTTTTAATGGTCCTGTTATTTCCTTAATTTTATAATCTTTCATTGAATGGCAATAATCATTTACTACTCTTCTTTAAATCATTCAACCATCCGGAAATTCATAGAGGGTTTATTATACTCTGAACTAGATAGAATCTATAAGCAAATGATGAAGGGTGCGGAGTTGTAACCGATGAAACGATCCCTGTGAATCCTAGGTATCATTTTGTTCATTGTCTCTCTTTCTGGCGCGGTCATTACCACGCATTCTAGTCCGAGGGAAAAGTGCAGGGCTCTGCTGCAGCGCCAGACCGCACATTCTGATTCGCGTTTCAGCGGCCTGTGCAAGACAAACGCTTCGGTGCAAGGCCTCCGCGATTTGTCCCTTTTTTTCTCTTCTATGAATATCCCAGTTAGGGAATTATTTAAGAGATGCCGCCATACATGACGCCAGGTAGAAGGAACTCACTGACAAGTATCATTTGCGACTAAGAGCCGGTCTTGGATAACTTTTGATGTGTGATGATATAAAGGCTATTTTTCGAACTTGTATTCTGACTATAGTTTATTCTTATCCCCTTCTTATTTTAATTTCGTTTGAAATTGCTTAGATACTGCGATACTTGCGTTCGCTTTATAGACTAAAGAAATGGCATCATTAAAATACTCCTTACAACAGCAGTGTAAGAGTGATATTTCTAAGGCTTGTCTCCGGAGGTCACTTTTTGTTGGGCTCATCAGCACGCTTTTCATATTCCTTTGGCTATTTTACGCTAACGAATTGAACCAAATCCCCTTTTCACCCTCGGTGCTCTCCAAAGATGACAGACAGGATATCTTCGTTCGCACCACAGGGCCTCGTGTCGTCATCTTTGTTATAAGTGATAAAATTGATGATGCCCTTTGCTATTCAGTGGGTTCAGCCTACCTAACTGGGTTGCCTGTGGTGGTAGCTGGCTATAAGATGAAATACAATGGGTTTCTATCCAAGTTTAACTTCCTGGGAACTGCCATCGATAATGCGGAGCTGGATCCAGAAGATGTCGTCATTCTAATGGATTCCGACACCATTTTTACAGGTGTAGACATTCATACGTTTATCGATCGTTTTATCACGAAGTCCGCCGCGACACCAGAGGAACTGGACGCGCTGGCCGTGCGGCAGGACCGTGCGATGGCGCCGTTTATAGCTAGTGCTGAGGCTGGCTGTTGGGCCGGAAATGTATTTGAATCTCATATGAGCTGTAAATTTGGCTATGAGGATTACTATGGTAATGTGCGAAGGTTTAGCGCCGCACATCCGGAGCATAAACTTGTTTTGCCTTTTGATATATCATCGCGACGCTACCTTAACGCTGGTGTATTGATTTCTCGTGTCTGGGCGTACAGAGAATTTCTACAGAAGGCGGACATTTTAATAAGAACAATGACCCCACGATATCGTTTGCAATTGGGATGGTACTGTGATCAGTCTGTCTATGCATGGCTCTACCTGAGTCTCTTAGAGTGGGAAGTAGAGCAGAATGTTTTCTCGTTGCCATTGCATGAGCGCCAGGCGGCACGGTCCACTTACGGTGTGCGTGCAGGTTTCATTGGTTTAGATTATGCCAATGAGCTTTCAGCTCCGACCACAATGTTTGTAATACACCTAACAGAGATGCATGATAGACACTGGGGAAAGTATTTGCCACTGTATGGAATCGGGCACCCGCACTCACAAAAAATAATCAATATCGAGGTAATATTTCAGTTTGTAAGTGATCTTTACAAGCGAGCATACGCTGCACACGGTGAGGAGATTTACACGAAGCTTGCCGTGCCCAAGTGGGTGGCGGGAAAAAGGACTTCTGCGATGACCTCTATTAGCCTCACGCCACCACTTTTGGCGACCAATCTGAATCCTATAGATGCAATCAACAACGACGTGCGTCGAACGTTCCCCGTGATTTATCATGCGGCAGGTGATGAGCCAGGTCTCACGAAGGTGGCTAAATTGGAGTATGGCGCCGTAGGTGCGCAGTGGCTTGTGCCGATGGTGCACAATCCGAAGATAGAAAAGGAGATTATGGAATACCTAACATCCATGCCGTTGTTTCTATCTACGAACAACTCCATCATTCAAGATTCCTACCATAACAAATGCGGATTCCCATTTAAGAAAACTCTTAAAAAGGTGAAAAATTTGTAAACCATTTTGTTTTTCTAATAAATACATTTGAAGTTCGTTTCTGAAGTCTTCAGGCCACTCTTCTGTTGTTTATAATATTTACCATATTTAACCTTACTGTTAAGATAGTTTTTATTTCAAAAAAAAGACCTATCAACAGTTATATCGCTTTATACAGTGTATATATTTCTTAAAGATGCCATCTACGTTTATGAATTTTTTTTTTTGTATATGGTTTAAACAAGAGATAGAATAGAGTACTTGAGTATTGCGTCCGTATTAGATATTATTCACACAAAATATAAGGTGGAACTCAAATAAATGATCTAATAATAGTGATTTCATGTTGACTGCCAATGCTTATTTTTCTGATACTATCCCTTTTTCGAAGGTAGTTGTGCAACCTAAGAAGTTGTTTTTGGTATAGATCTATGCTCAAAGCACACTTTTTCGGTTTATAAGTCTTTTTTGACTTGCGTGGGATGCGGTGTGTTGTCTAGCATCAGCTTGTAAGGGACGTCTTGTACTTTTTTAGGGTCGTGGTGTGTTTCACCTTTTTTTTCAAATTTTAATTGCCTTTCTTTAAATTCTAACTGATAGATCGTTTCAGGCAACCTAATTATTAAAAATTGCCAGACCAGTGATACATAAAGAATAGGTATAAACAGATGAATGTATTTATTATAAATGGTTTACAAGAAAAAATACCAAAAGGGGGAAGAAACATATTTCAAAAATACTGAACCTTATTGAAGCAATTTCGGTTTTTACCGATATAAGTTTTCCCTATATTCTATTATAGCAAACGTTTATACAATAGCAAATTTTGTCAGGCCGAAACTAATACAAGCCAGCTACCGCGCAATGCACTTTATATTTGTTAGGGGGTTTCTAATATTCAAAGACTTTTATCCCTTTCAGTTTATTTAGGTGAAGGACATAAAATACTTAAAAAAAAATTTAAAATACTTCCTGTCAGACAATGTGCATCAACTTCATTTGCTTTGGAGTCGTTGGTACGTATGGAAGTCGTACGTGGACTGTGCCCGTGTCCCTTGCAGGGTGGGGCAAGCCTCGTTGAGTGGGATGACTTTCCCTGTCGCGCGTGCGAGGTCTGATGTCAGCCTTTTTGACACATTTGAAAGGAAAGGCACTGAGAGGTGTAAATGAGGCCAGGGTTAGAGTGGGGTTTGCCGAGGGGTAGTGGGTTTGGGAAATTTAAATTGAGTCTTGCTTTTAGTCCTTTTACCCTAACCATAACCCGCTCACAAACCCGTAGCCAGGCTATTTCTACACCCTACTTCTACTCATACCACCAAAAGCTTTTTACAATCCTATAACAGTTGTTTTAAATGTTTTGGTTGAGTCTTGACGGTGTGGCGCGTTCCTCCCTAAAAAAAAAGCACTCTGTATAGATGTCCTGTCCCTGAGTCGTTAAAAAATGCAGTAAAATTTTTTACTGCTATGATATACCAAAAGCCTCTAATTGCCTCGGCCATTGGAGCAAGGCACCTCCAACTTGTGGAGTGGTTGGTTTCAATTACTCGCATCGCTGGCCCAGGATCGTCTCAATGCGCGAAAACACTTGCTTTGTTGCGGTAGGACAAACCCTTGATGATAGTCCAATACTATGAGCACAGATGGCTTTAGGTAGACAGGCTGACGGGGTTCTGCTAAAAGATCGCATTCCCCACTGCAGGTGTTGACACATTGTATGAGGTCTTTATGACCTCATTGCTTAAATTTCATTGAATGTCCTGCTCACAAAAATATGAGATTACGGGGTCGCCAGCCGCTTCGGTGGATTGTTCTATGAAGATCGTAAAAGAACCTTTATCATGAGGCACTGCTAGCGATTTATTCACCACGTTTGCCGATTGGCTCATAGATTCACGCACTGCTTTTATCACATAAAACCACGCGGTCGACATATGGAGTAAAAACATTATTTTCACCTATTTTGTACCCCTTCCCCCCCCAAAAATGTATACGCCTATCTTAGTACGAGCTTCAGAATCTACAAAAAAAGTCAATAATACCGAACCATCGCGTTAACATTATCAATCCCCTCCCCATTCCATTCAATGGCTCCAAACAAAAACCATAATTTGGGAAGTGTGCAGTATTCTAATCGATTTAAGTTAAATCAAATGATTTAAATCCGTTTCTGAAATATC